AAAATTCATTTTAGGATGGATAGCCTTCAGAGACGTAATTAGCCACGCTGTTTCTCTCCATTAGCAGTCCCCTGGCATTTGCCGGAATTTCTTGTCCTTTTTCCTCTCCATTTCACTCTTTCTATCCTCTTTATAATCTAGGTTGCAATACTTCCCCACCCCCACCCCAATCACCACCACATACTCTGTTTTTAGACTGAATAACTATTTTAAAATCTGGAGAGGGAGTTATAGCAAGCTTCCCCCCACCCCACTGGGCTGTAGAATTACAGTCCCATGAGCCAGCACAGAGCTCCAAGGTGCCCACTGCTGCCAACAGGATGGGGGAGGCAGCACCGTGTGACACAGAGACGGCCTGGCTAATGGCAAAGCTGGGCAGATCTAGGAAGGCTTCTGCTCCCCACATATTGTCCACGTGATTCCAGGCAAGTAACTTAACCTCTCTGAGCTTCCTTTGCCCTATAGGGGGTTCAAGGCAGGCACTCACATACTTGAGGTACATAGCAAGTGCCCATGAAAAGGCAGCCATGGTTGGGAGGCCCAGCTGTGAACAGGACACATGGGTGGTGGGAAAGGCACAGCCTTGGCTAGGTGAGTTAGAGCTACACACTTGGCACTGCCCCAGGAGCCTAGGTGGGGGACAGGTAGCAGGGAGAACCATGAAGAGGCCCCCTCAAAAAGCAGGACTGGGTGCACTGGGTGGAGAGAGCTGCCAGGCTCAGCGTCAGCTGCCTAAGGCTGAGTGCTTCTCTGTTGACTTGTTCCTATGGGTCATATCTGGCACCCATGAGAGCTGCCTGGGAATTGGCCTCCCCAAGACCCTGGGGATGGCCCAAAGTGCAGCAAGTAACTCTGTGGCATGCTAAGTAGCTCAGGGGACTTCCACAATGGCTGGGCTGGCTATTTCTCTGGGGACTCCCACTACCTCCATGCTCAGAAGAGAGCTATCTCCACCCCCCACCTCTGTGCCCCTCACACCAGTAACACATAACAGGCAGCTGTTTCCAACATTAGCAGAAATACCATGCTCAGTAGGGCTGAGGGCAGAAAGCCTTTTGCCAGAAATCTAAACTTATCCTGGTCCTCCACTAAGAGGACAAAGAAAAAACTATTGCTTTAGCACAAAAGATCTTTGGCAATTTGTGATGAAATAAAATCAGAATGTAAGTGATTTACATGAAGAACTAGAGTGCCTCAAACTTAGTCACGAGTAGGTATCCTTTGAAGGGACTGACTCCCATTAAGAGATGCAGTTGCAAGGGTGGCACCTGTAGCTCAAGGAGTAAGGCGCTGGCCCCATATACCAGGGGTGGCAGGTTTATGCCCAGCCCCGGCCAAAACTGCAAAAAGGAAAAAAAAAAAAGAAAGAGAGATGCAGTTGTTTCATCTTTTTTAAATGCTGCATAGCATCCCATGGTATACATATACCATAATTTATTATTCCATTCATGGGTGGATAGGCACTTGGGCTTCAATTTGTACAAATAATCAACACATTGAATCCCACAAAGGCACAAATGTATTCATGATCTATGTATATATGACTTAATAAAATTTTTAGGCCAAAAGATGAAAGAAAAAGAAAGAAGAGATGCAGTTGCCTGGAATTTCACAGAATTGTGTCATACTACGTTGACACAAGGGGAACTAGAATGAACTTGGTTTCCAGTACTGGCCTGACTTGCTTTTATAGTGCTCCTGGTCTCTTAGGTTTTTGGACACATGCAGAGAAGGGGAAACTGGCTCATGGGATCTTTGAATTTGTGCATGGATGTTACCATCAGCTTCATGGAAACAGGCAGCGTCTCTACTCCTGTCTGCTTCTCAGGAAGAAACTCTTATGGTGATATTTACAGATGGATCTTAGATATTAGTAATAACAATGGTGATGCTGAGGATATAAATATGACCAGGTGCTGGGTGCTTCCTGCGCTCCAGGGCCATGCTGGGCTCTTTACATCACTGCTTCATTTACTTGTCAGCCCTATGAGCCTCAAAGGGTAGCAACTGCATAGCAATGCCTGTCACCAGGAGCAGTAATCCCAGTATGTCAACCCACTCCAGGGTTTGCCGGTGTCACCAAGAAAGACAAGACTCACACAGGCACTGGATGGAACAACACTTCACTCACATAGAAAAGAGACAGGGCAAGAGCAGCTTTAATAGCAGGTGTTGGTCGCCCATGGCCAGAGGTCTTGTCCTGCAGCCCGACAGGGCGATGGTTTGCACACGCTTTTTCTCATGCTGCAGGTGAAGGACCCCATTTCCCCACCACCCGGAACAGATATAACAGTGGGTTTGGCCAGGTGCCATGTACTACACAAGCTTAAACAGAACAAAGGAGAACACACAGAGCCTGGAAGAGGGAAAAAATATTCCTGCACGAGGCGATAAGCCCAGCTCAAGCTAGAAGGGCTCCTTATCTCTTAGTAAGAAAGTATTTCAGGCTTAGGCCGCGTGTACAGGGCTGAGCAGCGTTCCAAAGACTGCACACAGGAGACTGCTTTTCCCAGCAGATGGGATCAAGGTCGTACTGCTGGGGGGATGGGAGGGAGGTGGCAGGGTCAGGATTTGAACCCAGGTCTTTCTGGCACCAAAGCCTATGAGCTTTTGCACTACACGAATGCCACATATCTGGAAATGAGATGAGCGGTCTTCCTCAGGCGCCTCCATGCCTGCCCTCCTCCTCATACCACAACCCATCGGCTAGTGGACAGTCAGATTCAGAGGAGAAAAAATGGACCAAGTCGTTTTCTCCCTCCCAGGACTTTCTTCATGCAAATACCTAGAATAATATTTTTAAAACCTGGGATTCTTGTGCCCTAAAGAATCCCCATGTACAGAATTTTAAAGGAAAAAGCTGGATTCCCATCAGGGAGGCAGAAATGCATAAATAAAAAGTAAGACATGGTGATCTAAGGCACTTGGGCGATTATGTAAATAAATGGACATGGTAAGGACCGTTCAGCCCTGGAAAAAAATTGACACGTGTAAATCCCTTTAAGAATCTGAGAAAGAAGCGGGAGAGGGGGGCGGATCAAAAGCCCTTTCCGCTTCAGTGTAGGGGCCTGCGATGCTGTTTGAATATTAAGCCTCCATGTGGTTGCAATGAGGCGTTTGTAGTCTGACTAAATGGTATCGGCTAATTCCGGGAAAGGCTATTACCTGCAACTTGCAGATAGGGAGCCAGAGGTGAAAGGAAGTTCAGTAGATGATCTATGTCCACCATGCTCATTTTAGAAGCCACAATGGATTTAGTACTCAGATTTAAAGACTTCCAACTCTTTACCCAATCCTCAACTTCTCAGGGAAAAAAGGCAGTTGATTCTTAGTTGTCTAGGTGGTTAATATGGACCAACAGGAGCATAGATGATCTCAGATGATGAGTAATACCCATGCCCCGCTCCTGCTCTGGACATCAGCTTTGAAAACGTGGGAACCTCTGAATGAAGGTTCAGAGGTTCAGGGGGTGATGCAGGAGAGGCCCAGTTATCATTCCACCCCTCCCCTACTCAGAGCTGCCCACCTTCCGCTCCAGGAGACCCAGGGACAGCAGATTAAAGAGTCTCTTAACTCTTTCCCCAGGTTGGGATGGGGTGGTGGAGGGAGGCAGATAATGAGGCGTTTTGATTTAAAAGGCTTCCTGCAGCGCCGCGGGCGAGCAGAGCAGTAACAGTAAATGAGACAATGAATTGTGTCCACCGAAGACTTGCATATGGACACTGATTCATTATGTTAATAAGGACGTGAAAGCCAGAGGTTGACTGTATTCTGATTTCATGGCTGGGGAATCTGTGGCTCAGAAGGGGGGGGAAACATCCAAATTTGAGGCCAGAGTCCAAATTCCAACTCCAAGCTCTTGATTCCAATTTGGTTCCTCTAATTGCTATCATCATCTAATGACTATGGATGCTGGTTTAGAGCCAGATGGGACCTGAGCAGAAATGAAAGCAATACTTAAGGTGGGGAACAGTGCTGCTGGAGCCAAATGGAGCCAACCTCCCAGATCCATGCGACAAATACTGAGCATCTACCAAGGGCCACAGCAGCAGGATTGGCAAGGGAGCACAAAAGACTCTGACATTGACTCTGGCCCAAAGGAACTCAGGAGGAGAGGGGCATGTACAAATCTCTGTAATACACACAGAGAAGGGAGGAAAATGAGATTTAAGAGCACTTCATTTATTCTCCCATTTAGTCATTTGTTCACTCAGGCATCATTTTAAATGCTCTGGATATAAAGATAAATAAAACTGCTCTCCATCTCCAGAAGTTAGCATTCAAATACTGCATCTGAGGAGATTTATCAAAATATGTTCCCCAGGCCTCCAGCCCAGACATACTGATTCTGAATCTTTCAAAGTCGTACTGGGGATCTCACCTAAGAGACTACAGAGACTTAGTAACTTGCGTGTTACACAGTGTAAGGGTGTTCAGCACACTCCCTGGGTGAAGGGCTCAACTACAACTTAAACTTTACCTTAGAAAAGAAAACAATGTAACCTAAACATTTGTACCCTCATATTAATCCGAAAAATTTTTTAAATGTATTCAAGGATATGAACTAATCAAGGAAACATAAAAATAGAAAGTAAAACCCAAGTGTTGTTTTGAATAAGTTCCAATATGCTCTTATCTTTTTTTTTTTAAAAAAAAGTGGTACCAAGAAAACTAAAGCTTGTATTCAAGGTATTCTCCAGGTTGGAGTGCTGATCTGGTGGACTAACAAGTTAAGGGAGTCCAGAGGAGAGCCAGAGATGGGAGAAAGTCTTCCTGGCCTCCTCTCCCAGGAAGCCCACCCTGCCCAGCTCCGTCCAGCCCAGACTGACGCCTATGTCCTCTGAATCCTTCCTCCATTGCATGCACTGCAATTTTCCTGAACAACCAACCAGTAGGCTTAGTCCCTATGTGTGTGTCTTGCCTCTGAAGGTGAGTACCCCCATGTTCCAAGTCATTGTGATGAAGGTTCCAGAAGCCTGACAACATGACTGATTGGCTCCTGTGGGAAGTCAGAAGAGACCCAGTTCCTCATGGGAATGCAACTCATCTCCAAAAAGGAAGATCAACTTCCTTGGCTAATTAAGCATCACTAGGGCTCCAAGATAGTTCTGGTTTGGAGGCTGCTTTGAAGACAGCTAACAGGGGCCATGACCACCCTCTCTCCGGAAAACAGCCTTTCTGCTAGACAGTCAGCCTCCTTCATCCTGGTGCGTGTTCTTCATCAGTTCTGACCCTAATCTTTGGTTTATACTTGGGCCATTTTCCTCTGATGAGTTAGAAAGGCTAGGACCGTCAGCTGGCTACAAGGTAGAACAGGGGCCATTGTGCCTTGGTCTTACCATCAGTGTCAACAACAAGACTGAGAAACTCAAAACTTCTTTTATCTTCTCTCTAATCCAGTGTTACCTTCTCCCAGATGCATCATTCTAACTTGACTGAGTTTTAGGTTTCCAAGTTCAACCCTGAAGACTGATTAATTTTCTTTGGAGCTTTTGCCAACAATTTTGGTATGCTGCCACCAGGTGGCAGTAATGCTTTGTTGGTGGGTGGTTCTAAGCCCAGTTACCAAGACTATCTATTTGTTAGAAGTTGGCCTCAATCATAAAAATTTCCCACACAGTATTTTTTCAAAATCATAACTAATTATAATGACCTTAACCAATCTCAAGTACCATTGATCATAGTGATTAAGAGAGTGATACATAAAAATGCAAAATGGGCACCTCTCTCCCTGAATCTTAAACATTATTACTTTATTGCAGATTATCACTAGGCCTTGATTTAAATTTTCTTTATAGCATTCTCATTTCTCTGAACTTAGAGAAAGCTAATAATAAAATAAACTGTCACATAGTATTTATTACGTACAATAACTATTCTAAAATGCTTTATTTATAGTCATCCATTCTCATCACAACCCTATGAGATGAATGATGCCATTATCCTCATTTTGTAAGTGATAAAATTAAGGTATAGAGATTAGTAACTTGCATGTTGCCACATGGCTAGTCAATGGGAGAGCTAGTGAGTATTTATACCCAGGAAGTTGGGCCACAAATTCCACCTAAAACAGTGATTCTGCTTTAGTCTGGTACCCAAACCTGTAGCATTAGCACCAACTGGGAACTTGGGCCCCAAATCTTCTCGACCAGATACTTAAGATGGACCCCGGAGAGCTGTATTTTTTGAGAATCAGCCCTCCAGATAATAGTGATGCTTGTCTAACTTTAAGAACCCTTGTTTTAAACTATTTTCTTTTCTTCTTTTTTTGAGACAGAGTCTCACTTTGTCACCCTTGGTAGAGTGCCATGATGTCACAGTTCACAGTAACCTCAAACTCTTGGGCTCAAGCGATCCCCTGCCTCAGCCTTCAAGTAACTGGGACTATAGGTGGCTGCCACAACACCTGGCTATTTTTAGAGGCAAGGTCTTGCTCTGGCTGAGGCTTGTCTCTAACTTGTGAGCTCAGACAATCCACTCGCCTCGGCTTCCCCGAGTGCTAGGATTTAAACCTTTTTCTTAATCACTGTGCCATACTGATGATACACCCTCCACACCTGGGTGGACAGTGATTGCTATGGGGAGCCCCTGTTACTATTGGGAGTGCGTCTTGTTCTCAGGTGGAACTGGAGTGGAAAAAAGATTGAGAACTTTAAGCAGAGTCAATGATCTTCCCCAGGCATTATTGGAGGTTCTATGACTATGAGTATTTAGAGAACTTGGCATCAAAAACCCTCAAAAAAAGTTTTCCTTATCTTCCATTGACTTTCCTATTTTACTGAACATACTATAGGAAATCCCTAACCCAGTGATGCAGAGGGAAGGTGGGGTGGGGAGATGTATCCCTGAAGGGGCAGCATGGCCAAGGTTTCCCTGGGTTTGCTGATGGACAGCATTAACCTGCTTAGACATAACATGAAGGTGGGAGGAGGTTTCCAAAACTGCTCTACCTAGCAATACTCTTCCTCGGAGGCTGGGAAAGGTGCCACTACAGAGCTGAAGGGTATCTGAGCTACATATTTCTCCCTTCCGGCTTACCAAGTAGTTGTACCCAGAGTGTGGGGAAGGGTGTTAATAGGTTAATGGAGCAAAGAATGGAGAAGAATGAGTGAGGATGAAGGTAGATTCCAGAAGCTATCAAGCTGTCAATCTTCACCACTTAGGAGGACCCCAGATACAGGTTCTCCGATTTCTAGCATAAACAGGTGGTATGGATGTCCAGTGAGAAGTGAGGAAGGGAACTTACACTGGGACATTTTCCTCTTGATCTTCTGCATGTCAATAAGCTGCTTCTTCTGATCCTTGGCTTCTTGGCAAGTGGCTTAGATATTCTTATGGGTGGCCTGTGGTTTGCATAGGTTTGGAAAGATGCGGGTAATTGGTAGGTGCAAAGGAATGGAGTTTCCTGGAAGAAAGAGACAGTGACTTTTTATAAACAAATTCAACCATGGCAAAGTAGGCAGATGGCCAATTGTTTCAGGTAGAAGTTTCATAACACAAATTCTCTGAGTACTCAGCAGATGCTTTTGTGATGCTTCTAATTATTTCTGCCTTATTATGTTGATAGCATATCTTTTATTATGGTGTGTTGTGCATATTACATTGATTTCGCTATTGTCTCCCTTTCGCTGTATTTAATTTTTTTCCATATCTTTTTTCATCATTTGTTTTTTAATCTTTGCATGGTATTTTATTTTAAGGTATACCTTTTGTTTACAGCTTGTGTAAGATACATATTTATTTTCATTCAAACTGAAAATCCTTGCCTTTTAATGAGTGAATGAGTGTCAGTTGGGAGAAGGAGGTGGCGGTTAGAATGGGGAAAACCTGGTTCTGATGACAGTGATGGTGCCTATGGAGGTGGGGCTTGGCATTAGGGCAGACTCTGCTTCCCAAGATTAGGCCAAGGCTGAGGTTTTCTGTACCTCCTTGGGTCCATATATTCTATTTTGATTCAGAAGACAGAGTGTGTATGAGTTACTAAAGAATGTATTTCTCAATTCATCCCCATCAAACACGCAGTTAGTGGAAATTGTCCCAATTTGGAGCCTCTGGGCTCTTATTTTTAGTTTCCAGGGCTGTTTTTCCTTCTGATACTTTGCTGTGCCTCACCTATCACCCAGGACCTTGTTAGAAATGCATCATCTTGCACCCCAAACCTTCTGACTCAGAAACTGCACTTCAAGAAGATCCTTAAGTAATTTGAATGCAAATTTGATTTTGAGTCACCCATGTCCACGTTTGGGTATATGGTCAACAGGAAGCTGGTATCATGTATATCAGCTCTGTCCATCAGCACATCTTTTTTGTAGTGTGGAGTTCAAGATAGTCTTCTCTTGGCTGGGTGCAGTGGCTCCTGCACACCTGTAATCGCAGCACTTGGGAGGCCAAAGCAGGTGGATTGCCTGGGGTCACAGCCCTGAGCCACAGCGAGACCCTGTCTTTAAATATAGCCAGGCATTGTGGCGGGCACCAGTAGTCCCAGCTACTTGGAAGGCTGAGGCCAGAGAATCACTTAAGCCCAGGAGTTGGAGGTTGCTGTGAGCTATGATGTACAGCACTGTACCAGGAGTGACAAAGCGAGACTCTGCCTCCAAACAAAAACAAAAACAAAACATATTCTTCTCTCCAATCAGAGAGAATACTCCAAGAAGAGAGGAATCTTCTCCTACTCCAATAGGAACCTGAATGTCTAGTTATTATTTTGTAAACATTTTGAATTACTTTGCAAGCAATATACTCACCTCCCTGACACACACATACACACACACACACCTTATCTAAAACAGAAACCATTCCTTGTGATGAACTGTTTTACATCTCCAAGAAAGGTAAAGTGGAGCTCATGAATGTGTCTAATTAGTGCTTATTTTATATTTTTCCATTATCAAGGCAGTAAACATAATTATAAAACATTTTGGAAGTACAAGAAAAAGATAAAAAGTATTAATTCTCTTCTCAAAGATAATCACTGTTGTTTTTAGTGGATTGGTTTTGTTATTTTTTTCAGTCTTTTTTCCAACAATTCTTATAGTGGTTAGTGCACTGCATATAGGGGGAGTGTCCCCAAAGTTGCCATAATAAGGGAAATGGGGAGGTGCAGCTAAGTGTATGTACCTTTATTTGCAAAATATTTTACAAAATATTCTCCACATGTCAGCCACCATGTGCCAGGCTTTTTTACATTTAGAATATAGTACATTAAAAAAATAAAAAATGTTTAAAAAGAATATAGTACTTAAAGGGATGTTGAATATATAACTATATTCTGCTTTTTCTATTAACATTTGTATTTTTCCAGATTATTCATTTCTTATAAACATTCATTTATATGCTTCACTATATTCCATTGCTTATATAAACCACAGTTTACTTAACTATTCCCTTATTGCAGAACAGTTAGAGTGTGTGCATTTTTCACGTTGGTAAAGTATTGTCAATGAAAATTATTGTGCCCACAGAATTTTTTCTATGTATTTTCCATAATTTTCTCAGGATAGATTTCCAGAAGTGAGCCAGGCAGTGAGCTTTGATTCATACCACAAAATCCAGAGCATATTATTTAAAAATCAGGTTTTGAAAAAGCCAAAGTCTCCTAAAAGAAGGCTGGACTGTTTCTCTTTGCCAGGTGAAGAGAAAACCATCCATTGACAAGACGGAATGGGACGGCTTCTTTGACGAGAATGGCCACTTGGCCAAGTCGCGGGACTTCATTTGTATTAACATCTTGGAAAGGGTACGGTCCCCCAGCTACGCATGGCCTTGCCCTGGAACTGAGGGCCGTGAGTGAGCAGGGGCAGGCATGGCACTGGGCAGAGCCCTTTAGATGGGCATCCGGAGGGCCCATGATCCCCACCTTCCACCCCACCCTAGGGTCTGCACCCCCTCGTGAGGACGGAAGCCTGGAAGTTCCTCACAGGCTACTACTCATGGCAGAGTTCCCAGGATGAGCGGCTCGCAGTGGATAGCACAAGGAGGTAGAACATTCCAGATCCTCGGTCAGGGGAGGGTGGGTGGCACGGCAGGGGGCAGGCGGTGCCCACCCCAGCCTGCAGATTCAGGCTTCTCCCTCTATACAGACTTCTCATTCCAAGAGCGAAACCCCGACCCAGGCCCAGTGCACAGGAGCTATGGCCCCATTTGTGCCAGTGCCCTCTACCCCAGCTCGTTTACCAGCTGCCAGGCGCCGGCTTGATCCCAGCATCTCCTCTTACCCTGGCCCCAGTCTCACCCTTCTCTGGGACCTTTGTATTCCACTCTGAAGCAGCCCTTGAACTTGGTCTCCCACATGCTTCCCTGGGCCCCATCACCTATCCCTCCTCCTCTCTGACCTTCACAGCTGAGCTGCCTCCTGGGCTTCACTGCCCTCCTCCCTGCCCACACCCAGCATCTCCTCCCCATGTAGGACCCAGCCTGGGCTGCTGGTGTCCTTAGGTTAAATATCCCAGTAGTGTAACTGGTAGCATTTCAAATAGCCCATCCTCTCTTCCAAGGCCTTCTGATCCTGGCTCCCCCTAATCCCAGCTCTTGCCTGCCTGACTCCCCATTTTCTCACCCCCCATCCCCTCCCCTGCTCCAGCACAGACCACATTTGTACTCCCCTCTGCCCTTGATTCATTCTTTCCCCTCCACCCACAATGGCTGTTCCATCATCTGCCCATCAAAACCCCACCCTTCCTTCAAGGCCCTGATCAGACAGGACATCCCCTCCAAGAATCTGAAGTCTCAGATTCTTCTGAGACAGCCAGGAGGAGGCACTTTGGTTCAGTAGATAAAACACAGGTTTTCAACTTGGACTGTCGTGAATTTGGAAGCCAGGGTCAATTCAGCTCTATCATTTACACCCTGCGTGAACTCGCCTGTGAATGTCACTGCTGAAGTCTCAGTTTCCTTCTTCATAAAATGGGGGTAACAATACATTTCCCAGAGTGATTCTGACGGTTGAATTAGGAATTCTAGGCAAGGAAGGTATCTTGTATAGTTGAGGAATGAATAGCTCTCATGATTTTGATGTGAATGCATCCTTTTGGACACCAGAGGCCCTTGATTTGCACTTCTCCTATGACGCTGAGTTCTTGGTCCAGCAGTAGTGACTCTGGAGCATGTGTCTTCTTCCCTACCAGGCCAAGAACAAGCATGGGCAGGGGCTGTCACCAATTCACCTTTGTCCCGGGCCCTCCCCAGGCCTGGCCCATCCATGTGAGGGCTCAGCACACGCTGGGGCAGATTGACTCCCTCTCAGAGGTGTTTGGCCCGGACTGGACTCACCAGTCCAGAAGCCTGGAGCAGGAGGCTGGGCTGGGGCCCTAGAGAGTACCTAGCCAGAGTCACCCACAGACAGCTAGAGAGCAATCCAGGGCAGTAGGGGACCTCAGAGAGTCTTGAGTGCCCGGACACGAGCCTGCTATCATCTGAGACTGCTGTAACGGAGTACCACAAACTGGGCAGCTTACAACAACAGAAATGTATCCTCTGACAGTTCCAGAGCTGAGAAACCCAAGGTCCAAAACACTGGCTCACTCCAAAGACTCTAGAGGAGAGTCCTCCCTTACCTTCCAGCTCTGGTGGCCTCAGGTGTTCCTTGGCTTGTGGCTGTATCATTCTAATCTCCACTTCTGTGATCACAAGACCTCATCTCTCTGTGTGTCTCTTGTAAAGACCCTTGTCATGGACTTTGAGGTCCACCTAGAAAGTCCAAGATGGTTCCATCCTGAGATCCTCAACTTCATCACATCGGCAAAGACCCTTTTTCCACATAAGGTTTATTCACAGGTTCTGGGGGTTAGGATGTGGACATGTCTTTTTGGAGGCTCTCCCTGCTAATCACATTCTACTGAAGGGCAGAAAACACTGCCTCATCAACCCTTCCAGTTCTGAGATGCAGCTGCCAGTATCCTCCCTACTGTACCGATGAGGAAACTGAAGCTTAGAGGTAGAAAGTGATGTCCCCCAGGCTTGGCCCCAGTTGTAGTCACAGAGCCAGGATTCAGGTGCAGCGGCTGGACCACAGAGCTGGGGTGGCTAAGCCAATTTCAATCTGCACTTTAGAGAGTGGGCAAGGTGAACATGGACAGAGATGAAGGGAGAGCATCACAGGTAAGAGCACAGTTGGGCAAGACTGCTGCCCTGTGTCTGCCACGATCTGGGCAGCTGCCACCACTCAGAGATCGCTCCCACTCATTGAAAGGGGAAGGCCACTTCATTCAGCCTTGATTCTGTTCTCACAGAAAGAACTATGAGGCCTTATGCCAGATGTATGAGAAGATTGAGCCCCTTCTAGAAAACCTGCACCGGAACTTCATAGAGACTCGGAATAACATCAGTGAGCACTGTGGGGTGGGAGCTGGGCAGAGGGGAACTGTCCCTGCCACCTTGTCAGCCACTTCTAGGGAGGAATGGGGCCTGAGGTCCTGGGAGCTGCCTTGACTTGTGCATGGAATTTTGCCACCCTCTAGTCTCCCAGGGTGTCCCAGATGCCCAACACCATGTTTCCCTGGTTGCATGATGTTCTTGCCTCCTCTCTTCCTCCCTTGGCTTGAACTAGGTTGGATTTGAACTGGATAGCAAGGAAGCTGGCTGGGGGTGCGGGGGCTGGGGTGGGCATTCCTGGCAGAGGGTTTGGCCTGGTCAAAGATTTGGAGGTGGGAAGAAACCCAGACAGCTCAGGGGTGGCGGGGAGTTGAGCCTGGGATGGCTGGGTGCACCTTGCATAGCCCTCACCCCAGGACGTGCCGGGCCTGCCCTCTCATTCACAAGCTTCTGCTGTGCCACCCACCTGTCCCTTGCCCCCCACTTAGCACACGACATTCGGAAACTCTATGACAAAGACCCCTTGGGCAATGTCCTCATTGACAAGAAGAGGCTAGAGAAGATCTTGCTACTAAGTTACGTCTGCAACACCCAGGCAGGTGAGCCCAGGGGCCAGGCACCGGCCATCCCAGGCCCCCCTTCTCAGATCCCCCCAGAGACCTGGTCCAGCCTTGGCCCAGGGCCCATGGCCTCCCCCAGCCCCTCCTCACCCTGTGCTCTCCACTGCAGAGTATCAGCAGGGCTTCCATGAGATGGTGATGCTCTTTCAGCTGATGGTGGAGCACGACCACGAGACCTTCTGGCTTTTCCAGTTCTTCCTGCAGAAAATGGTGAGGCCCAGGCCTGAGCTCAGAGGCAGAGACTCTCATTCCCCAAATGACCATCTCCTCCAGCCCTGAAACAGCTCTCTGGATCACAGAGGAGTGTGGGAGGCCAAGGCCATGCCCAGTGGGGTGGGTAGTAAGTGTGGGGGCAGTGGCAGGTGTTAGAGTTGAGAAGGTGCATAGAGCCACGCTCTGGGTCTAGCTCTCACCAAACCAAAAGTGCATGGCTGGCCAGGCCCAGGGACATCACCCTGCCCTGGCTTTCCCTTTCTCAAGCAGATCTCCTCCCTGCACACCCTCCAAGTAAAGCCTCCACCCTTCACCAGGCATCCAAGGCCTCCTCTTTGGTCTTGTGTGTCACAGCTCCCTCCATACAACTTGCATTCCAGACACACCAGGGGACTCGGTAGTCCCCAGATACATCCTACACTGATAGTGGAAGGGTTTGAAGGCCCTGATCACTGGACAGCCTTTCCTCATGATGTATGTGAGGCTGCCCTGAGCCCTCCCTCAGCCTTGCCCCACCCCTGCAACAGTGTGCCACTGTCCCTCCTTGTCCTGATTGGCTCTGGCCCAAGAAGATGCCCACAGACAGGCACTCTTGCACCCTCAGATTATACAGTCACAGACATACGTACGTGCATGAATGTGTACACACACGTGCACAAGCACACACGTGTCCCTAGACTCAGGGGGAGGAGAGCCTAGCCAGGGCCTCCAGAGCTGCAGTTGGGAGAAGAGGGGCTGGATCTTCTGGTGCCCTCAAGCTGAGGGGGACGGACTCAGTTTCCCTCCCTCCCACCTTCCTGTGCAGGAGCACAGCTGTGTCATCAACATTGGGGTGGGCAAGAACCTTGAAATGCTCAACAACCTGATCACCTTCCTGGACCCCATGTTTGCTGAGCACCTGAGTGAGTGGTCCCCACCTCCTGCCACCTCCCCTCCACTCCATCAGGACAGGAATGGGAGGGGAACCAGGACCCCGCCATGGGCAGCGGTTCCCAACCATTTGATCTTTCACCTGGATAGGTTAGGAGTCTGGACAGTTGAAAATCGACCCCAGTCTCCAGGGTGGTTAGAAAAGTAACATCTAGGGTTTTGTATTTCCCAAGGGTTTCCCATGCTCTGCTGCCTGGCCTCACCTGCGTGCATTGGCTTTATCGTGTGTGTGTTTCCTCTGACTGTGGCCTTGGCTTCTCTCCCCACAGAAGGGAAGGGTGCCGGGGCTGTGCAGTCCCTCTTTCCCTGGTTCTGCCTCTGCTTCCAGCGTGCCTTCAAATCCTTTGACGATGTCTGGAGACTCTGGGAGGTAAGGCACTCAGCTTGGCACTATTGGGATAGGCCTTAACTTCCTGGTACTCTCCCATTACTTCAGGCTTCAGATGGAGCTCAGTGCTTTGGGGTTTTGTTAGACCAGAAACCCTGTTCCCACCTTGCTGGAGGAAGCAGGATCATCAACCGTTCATGTAATCCAAAGGCTCCACTGGCTGTGCCTTATGTGGGGCATAGAAGGGACATTGGGGGCTGAGCCAGCACAAGGGTCTCTTCCCCCAACCCCAACCGCCTCTCTCCACTCTCACTTCCCCAGCCTTCCCTTCCACCAGACTGCTGGCTTCCATGAAGCCCTCTCTCATAAAAGGTGGACTCCTACAGTGGCCCACCTTTAGGCCATAAGGACCACCACCACCACCACTTCTGCTCTGCCCAGTGGCTGTTAATACCTGCAGCATCCAGCCCAACCATCAGCCTGGCCTTCAGTGCAGGCTAACTCTCACCTGCCTCACCCCTCCCTCCTGGGCTGCTGGTCTCCCTACCCAAATCCATGACCACCCCTAGGCCTTTGGTTACACCCTTGGATTGCTGAATTCCCATCCACTCTTGATTTGCCTTGACAAAACTCTACTTACATGCTACAGACAATTTCCCAGTCTCTCCTGATCCCTGAAGCCTTTATCTCTGAATTCCCCTCCATCTCTAGACAGCACGATACCTAGAACCCCAGGGGTACCTGTGCACTTGCCTGAGTGAATGAGTGAGTGAATGAATAAGTGAGCAAGTCAGCAGCAAGGTCCAAGAATGGCTGAGCCAGGGCATGTGGGGGCGGGTGCCTCACGATCCCGAGGGCACGGGGTACAGGCTAAGACCACTGGCCTGCAGGTGCTGCTGACGGGGAAGCCCTGCAGGAACTTGCAGGTGCTGGTGGCCTACAGCATGCTGCAGATGGTGCGGGAGCAGGTGCTGCAGGAGAGCATGAGTGGGCACGACATCCTTCTGGTGAGACCCCCCGCCCCTGGCCAGGATACCCCACCAGCTCCTGGAGGCCCTGACACCCCAACCCTTCCTCAGCTAAAAGACCAGGCTCGTGGGGTGCTGGGCTTCAGTGTCCCCTGTGCGCTGGGATGGGAGGGGTGTGGAAGGGCTAATGCTCTGAGCACCATTCTAAGGGCTTTTAACAGACCCGCTCTCTGCAGCCTCTTGACACGCCTGACATGGGGGTCTGTAATGGTCATCACCCCTCTGGTGAGCTTGTGAGGAAACTGAGGCTCACAGGGCAGTGATTTTCAGTGTGCCGTGAGAGGATCTTAGATGGGCCAAGGAAAGTTTCAGAGATCATTGATTACATTATTTTCAAAAGAATTTCAAAGCACAGTAAATATATTCCTTTTTTTTTTTTTTTTTTTT